CCCATTTTTTGCACCCATGTTATATTCCACATTTTAGGCCTGAAAATGGCTTTTCTAAACGCCAAGACCCTACAGAATAAAATGGTGGCAGTTGCAAATTTTTATGTTGCACGACATTAGCGCAACTTCTCATCAAACTCCAAAATTTAGTGAAAAATGCACGTAAATGACCCAAAACAAAATACCCATAGGATTTTACAACTTTACACTCTATGTGCCCATTAAAGCATAAGCTGAGTACATACCCTCCGCTTTCTTTAACAACCTCTCTTGATATCTTGATTGATGTCTAAACTCTTCTATCTTCTGTCGCGCCTTTAAAATGGCAAAATGTGATCAAGGACTAAACTGTAGCTCCACCACACAGCTGTGTATAGACATTTCATATAACATGAGGTCATAAGGGAAGAGAGAGAGCCCAACAGCCATCCTGTGACATGGTGTAAAAAGTGACAGATTGTTGAGATGCATTTCATGATCTCCTGCATCCGAGGACACTAACCCAACTTGACAGAACTCGGCTGTCTGCTTCACACAAGACTGTTAAAGAAGAACTCTAGGCAAATTACAGGTTAACCCTTGAAGTGGGGGCTACCACTGCACTCAAAGGGTTAAAACAAAATGGGGGATATGTTCAATCGGTGGTCTAAGCCCCGCTGACATCCTCAACATTTAATACAAGTCCATTGACTTGAATTGGACATGAGGGCACCGAGGGATATTCCACAGCCGGAGCGGAGAGAGAGGTGAGCAGTGGTCGCCGCAGGATCGAGTGTGTATATCTTTTTCTAGACCCTATCCCAAAAAGAGCACTTGACCATTGTGGGGGCAGCCTCACTGCAAGAGATAATGTGTAATTTGCCTGGCACTCTTCAATTATTTAGTATCATAGGATTTAACTTTTGAAAAACAATGTGAAGCCCAACTCCTGGCTCTGCAGTATGCTTTGCTTTTGTTTTAATACTTAGCTTATGAGAAATCTTTAGGCCAGTCACATGACACAGGGCCCTCTCCCAAGCATAATTGCAAAGTCAAGCGGCTCCTAGATGGCAGAGATTGAGAAACATACATGAACTATGTCTAGGACAAGCTCCAGGCACTCCATCGATGAGTCAAGTCCGGCACCGATAACAGAAGGTTCAGTATGCAATATACAAACCAATGCCACAAAGTCTATACTGTCAAAGCCTCAACTGGAAGACGTCCAAAAATCCCACATGGGATGCCCTGGGAACTCATCCAGGCTATCGTAGGAACCTGGGGAGTCTAGAGACCCATAGCAGGCAAAGACAGAACAGATATGCTGGTAACTGGGGACCTCCAAGTAGGTGTCCCTAAATCCATGGAAGTCAACAGAGAGCATTTGGGCCCAAATTAAGACATAGGGCCTTCAACTATAACTGGAGCGGACACCCATGATATGGGGACAAGGAGGTAGTGTCAGCTGCTTCCTCTATATAGGGACGCTACCAGCCAGTTATGAAGTACACCACACAAGCACCACTCAGATCCGGGAAAGGTAGCAGGAGGATAGGGCTGCTGCAGCCAAATGTGCATACAGGCAAGGCACAGCATGCACTCGTAGACTACAGGATCTATATTATCCTGTTTGTCATCCAGCTCAGCTGTTGATCAAAAGTCTCAAAGACTTAAAATAAATTAATCAGAAAAGAAAGGGAAGTAATGTTCCCAGCAGGAAGCTTAGGGCCTTACTCAATGAAACTAAGGGGGGGACGACGACGACCTCTAGCAGATGAGTACTTGGCCAATGTCAGGAGGCCACCCCTAGGCTGTGCCTTTGTGTTTCTGCCTAGACTTCTACTGCTGAAGATGGAGCTATAACCCAGAGGTCAGAGATCAAGATCTAAGCTGTGCCCTTCAATGAATAGAAATGTAAAATGTTTAAGGGTTCTTGCCAGAAATACTCTTAAGAACCCTTAAACATTTTACATTTCTATTCATTGAAGGGCACAATATATATTATTCATACACACACATTCCATATCCACTAAAAGGAAGCCAGGCGGCGTGTAAAGACTCGCCACCCGGCTTACTGTTTAGCAGTAAGAGTACTCGCCCAAATACTCGGTATCGGCGCATCCCTAGTAATCACAAAATGTTTATCATGACAATATCACAACTTCTTCAGACAGACCTTTGTACTTTAAAAGCTGGGGCACCAAATATCAATCAATGACTACTTACCAATACGTCAGTAATTTCTGCCATCAAACTCTGAAATTTAAAGACAGGGAATTGCCATTACCAAAAACATTTTGATAACACAGTGAATCTGGAAACTTATGTACAAATCTTACTTACTTGTGTGTCCCCCCACTGGAAGTTTACTCCTGAGAAGTGCTGGGCTCCACACTTCTGAGATGCAAATATATTGGACTTTTGGTGTAAAAGGACCTCGTTCACACCAGATGCAGTGCGTTCTGGCCAAAACGCACTGCAGCCGGCTCACTATGTTGCGGGCCAGGAGGGGGCGTGTGGCGGTTCATTGAAGTGAATGGCTTAGCCACACCCCCTGCCACAATACGATCGCAAGGCACATTATGCCTGCGGTCCGAACAAAACAGTGCTTGCAGACTGGACCAGACCGCAGGCATAATGTGCCTTGTGATCCCGTGCGGCCGATCGCATTGCGGCCGGAGGGCGTGGCTACGGTGCCATGGGTAAAGGTTCCCCCTCCTGCCACACAAAAAAGTTATCCGGCCCCAATGTGAGGTAGTGCAATCTGGCCAGAATTGGGCCGGAACGCACTGCATCTGGTGTGAACGAGGGCTAAAGCTCACCAGAATTGGTGCAATCTGACTGTACCATTTCCTGTAGAATGCCCAAAACTATAAAAGGAGGACCTGCCAAAAAATGTGTTTCTTGGGAGTATAGTACAGGACACAGGCAGATTTAGTCAACTGGGTAATATGCAGGTGTTTGGACACCAGCCAGAGCTGTGAGGACCTTCAGATTACCCCTGCCACAGCAAAGAATCCTCAGTTTTTTAGCAAGCAATTCAGAGAGGATGGTGCAGGGTCTTGTATCGTACGCCAAGAAGCAGATTTTACTGGTAAGACAAAAAAACTATTTGCTTGATTGTACAGTAGAGAACACGGGCAGATTCAGAGATGCTTGGGACTTCCCAAAGCATTTGAACTGAGAGGTGGGAAACGGTAAACAACTGCCAACAGTCTCACAAAATGAACAAGGGGGGGTGCCTGATTGGCTGGGAAGCCAGATCCATGCTCCCTTGTGACGAGGGAGCATAGAGCAGGTTTCCCGGCCAATCAGGAAGCCGGGCAGCATATGATGACTTGCTGCCCGGCTTCCTGATACCGGAAGTTCGGGCATCAGGCTAGGCATCGGAGCATTTGGTGATTCTCAGACAGCAACCTGGGCCAAAATTAGCATGAGTAGAGGCCCAAACATACACCCTTGTAAAACGTAGTAAACGTGTGAACAGAAGACCAGGGGGGTCTAGCAGCTCTAAGGGAATTGCCAAGTGTGAGGGTCAGATAAGTAAAAAAGCAATTTTTCTGTGCCCTCGCCTCCAATCACCTAGTGATGCACATTACCCAGTCGTCTCCGAATCTGCCTTTCTCCTGTAAATTTAAGAAATATCAATGACTTTAACTGATCATGCATTGCCTTGTACTACACCAGCGGCTGGTAGTTCTAAAGGAGATTGTACAGTAACCGTGTAATGTGTGTTGACCTTTAACCCCTTCATGACTGACACCTTTTTTTTTCATTTTTTTTTGCACCCATGTTATATTCCACATTTTAGGCCTGAAAATTACTTAAACCCCCAAACATTATATATTTTCTGAATGCCAAGACCCTATAGAATAAAATGGTGGTAGTTGCAAATTTTTATGTTGCGCAATATTAGAGCAACTCCTTACTAAACCCCATTAGCGGCCCCTTCTTCGGCACACAGAAGCGATCAGGCGACAGGTAACTCGCCAGAATCCAACGTTCAGTTCCTATTTAGGGAACCTTTGCCCATGGCTGGCCGTTCTTTTTTGGGGGCATAGCTTCCAATGTTCAGTTCCTATTTAGGGGGAAAAAAAGCAGCATGCTGGGAAGGTCTGGTGTCTCCTACTCTCAGCATGCGCTTATGCAAAATGCATTTCCCTTTAATGTACATGGAACTGTATGGAGTCACATTTTTACATTTGCCCCGCTTCTAATGACGCCCTTACCTTTCCCTGGTCGCCACTTCCAGAAGCTCTCTCAGGGCCGGGGGAATCTGCATCCAGTCTCTTCCACATCTTTGCTTTCTCAGCATACTTTTCTTTTTGTTCAACTGACAACAACTACAATACAAGTCACAGATTAGAGTAACACCATTATATATTGCTGTAATTATCTAAACTCCGGGTGACTGGTGAAAATTAGAATCTGAGAACCCTGCAATTCAGGTA